ATACACCAGTGAATCAATCAATACTAAAACATAGATAGTCAATGAATTATCTCAAAGTAATAGAAAACAATCATAATTATTAATTTGCTCTTGGGTTTTACATTTCAGCCAACCTAACAGTTTGTCCAGATCCACCAGAACCTTGGACATGTCGTGAATTATCACATCAACCATGTGTCTAGTTTAAAAGACAGCAAAAGTAAACAGGATTGTGGAATGTTGATTTTACGTTGAAAGTAACTGTTTGTTCACCAGATGATCGCAGAAACCGTTTTAAATTTAAACAGTGTTTTTTGTTGTTGTTCCTGCTTTATCTTTGAATACTAGTAATTAATTCTGATATGAGCGTTGTTTATTTAGATACTTTGTAAAAATATTTATCATAAGTATAGTTCAACTTCAATATAAAATAAAAAGATGTGTTATGATTGCCAATTAGACAACTATCCAACATCCAAATGAAGTGGATTTAAGTAACAGTAGCGGGTCATTGTACGGCCTTCAACAATGAGCAAAACCCATACCGTATAGTCAGCTTCGGTGTGGTTTTGAAACCCTACCGTAACATACTGCCATGGGTACTTATACTCTTGTTTGAAGCTTTGGTACTCCCTGGTATTCCCACTAAAACAGGCCGCGCGCCGTGAAATAGCAAAGAGTACTAAAAGTGGCGTTAAACACTAACAATCAATTAATCATTTCGTTGGTGGGTTTTTGTTTGCCATGGGGTTGTCAATCTTTATTGGACTCATTATTTTTTATTGTCCCGATATTTTATTGACCTCTTGAGATCTTCTCTTTCTCTTTATACGTAAAAATTACATGAACAATGATTTTCCGTACAATTTGAAACGTTATAACATTGGAACTCGTAACCTTTTATCGTGACCTCAATATGCTTATTTTGTGTTAAAATTTATAATTTTATATGTACGACAGTGCAAGTAAACCCAAGAAAAATCAGAAAGTCTATGGGGGGTATTTGAATTCAGGTACTAAATGTCAAATCTGTGATCGAATTTCAATATAAGTGCAAAATTTTGAATTTTGTATTTTATCTAATTTGCTCACTTGAGTCGTATATGAGGCAATATGACTTGATTTCTAATGGAACAACTATATACACCAACATATCCAACGACAAGGATGTCTAAACTACATGTTACCACACGCCATGTTTTCTTAAGGAACTGGTAAATTGATATATGGAAAGAATCATGTATCCACGTCATTTCTTTAATTTTCATCACTGTCGTCCCAATTTGTAGAACCAATCTATCGATCTATTGATTAATTTGCTCTGGTTATAAATATACAATTTTAAAATGCAGTAAAAAACGGAGATGGTTATAAGATGATGGATTTTTAATGAAATATTATTCACACAGCCCATACATTTAGTTGATAATTATTTTGTCAAACAAAGCATTCCATTTTATTATAAATTTAGTAAAACTATAGCTGTCCGCATAGTGAGATACCCCTGTACATGCATTTTAGTTGCTGTTGAAGGAGATTTTCGAATGGTATTTAACAAAGCCGTATATAAGTTGATTGTAAGAGTCCTTAGTTTTTGAAAAAATGTCATCAGCTGTGGAGATGTGGTGTATACGTCACAACAACAATGCGAAGAACAAAATGCATCGAGTCCTATAGTAAGCAGTGATAAGTATTGGGTCAGGGGACTGCATGAAAAAAATTATAGATATGGGTGATGCAAAAGATTTTTGCCTATTTGTTTATGCAATTTAACATATTCAAGCTTAAACAGCTAGAACGGTTCAAAGTGAACTTTTGTTTTACAATTTCCAAACTAAGTGATAAAAAGTTGATGTTTCGCACCTTACTTACGGACCATATCCAGTTTTTATTCAAATAGTTACTATAATAACCAGTTGCCCACTTGCACTGTTGAATAAGCTCTTAATCCCTTCCCGGTTCATGTTTTAAGACAACTACTTTTCTGACGTACGAGGTATGGTTAAGGGTTCAAATTGCAATGTTATGAATACCAGCATTATGATTTATCGTGCCTCAAACGTCTATCCCTTACTGTTTAATGTTGATTTGCCTCTTATTGACAAGATTTTTTCTATGGAGACTTTAAAAAAAATCAACAGAATATTCTAACAATTAAATGAAAATAACACTTATAATTTCATGCGTCCGACGCGCTTTTACGGATCTTCCATTATCAGTTACTCTCAAGTTCGAATATTTAAAAGCCAAGGATGTATAAGAACCGACACATTTGAAGAGCTATATGACAAAAAAGGACCTACAAAATAATAGCCAAATCCATTTAAAAGGTTAACTCTGCCTGCTTGAGTTGGAACCTTAGTTTCTTAATAATTTCCAAATTTGTAAACGGAATCTGTAAGTTTAGTCTTGATTTTGAGAAAATTTGACTAACTGTGCCAAATGTTTTGAAAGAATATTATTAAAATTATAATTATTACTTGTACATAAATAAAATATGCGATTCATAGTGTACTAGCGAAATGAAAAACTCAAAATGTTCTGCAAATTTATGTTTATTTCGCATAGAATATATCAGAAAACAGAAAAAAATATCTTCAAAATTATATAGGAAGTTGAAATATGAGTAACAAAGAGTTATATTCCTTTTAAAAGTGCTTGCTTGTGGTTATTTTGAAAACACTTTCGTTTTAATGGAGGACCATTGAAATGTCAAGGGAAAAAACACGCAGACTAAAGTATCATCTCGATCAAGGAATTTGAAACAAAAGTATATCATCTTAACATTTATCTTCTTAGAGAAAAGATGTTAAGTGATGCTCTTCTTATTTTTTTGTTCACTTTCCGTGACAGTAGAACTCATATTCAATAATATCATCTGATCCCTGTGGCGTGATAAGATGAACCAACTGACAACAAAGTGATCGCATGTTCAAACCTCGCAACTGGAGGTGAAAAAAAAGATTCATTATTCTATATATGAATTAACTTTAGTTAATTTAAATTTCCAATGTCAAAAGGACAACGGAATACATGCGTAAGCCACACAGGAATATATAAGGTAACTCTTGGCGTTCAAAACAACCACATAACAAACTCAGATCGAGGATCCTTATAGTAGAGAGTTGTGAAAAAGTTGACGTTTTTGTTCTCTGCTCATCAATTAACTGTCTCGTTGACAATCATATTTTTTAGTTTCATAGTTTCAAATGAATAAATAAAATTAGCTATTTCTACAAAACGCAGGATCCCGAACTGTTTTAACAAATTGAAGATATCGGGTGGACGTCAATGGGACAGCAACTCGACGACACAAATAATACAAAACGACATCTCGAGGTCAGCATACGGTATTTATCAATTTTAAAAAATGACAGACTGATAAAGCTCTGAATCGTTTAACTGAACGTTATGTAGACTCTGAATCGTTTAACTGCACGCTATGTAGACTCGGAATCGTTTAACTGCACGCTATGTAGACTCGGAATCGTTTAACTGCACGCTATGTAGACTCGGAATCGTTTAACTGCACGCTATGTAGACTTTGAATCGTTTAACTGCACGCTATGTAGACTCGGAATCGTTTAACTGCACGCTATGTAGACTCGGAATCGTTTAACTACACGCTATGTAGATTCTGAATCGTTTAACTGCACGCTATGTCGACTCGGAATCATTTAACTGCACGTTATGTAGACTGAATCGTTTAAATGCACGTTATGTAGACTCGGAAGCGTCCCGAGTCATAACGTTTGAATGGATTATATGTTAGTTATATATATGTCCTCCGTTTTAACGCGGAATGAGATTTTAGACGACATCAATTACATTTATTCTTAGTAGTAAAAAAATGCTTTCAATTTATATGAAATTAGTTTAGGCGACTCCATTTTCTTTATTCGCATGCATATGAATTTAGCTTTTAAACTCAATTGATATTCCATCGAAGTCTAATGATGTCATAACCTATGTTTATGGTTTTTATTAAAAATCTGTAAAAATGTTTCTATCATTTTGTGTTTAATCTATATAGAAGGATTGAGTACACCGTATCCCTTAAATGGTCCAAAAATTACATCTCGAAACTGTCAAACTTGTTCATTATTTTTTTATGAATTTAATTCTCTGTTGATTTTTTAAAAGATTGTGTGGTAAATCAGTTTAACTTTTAGGTCTTCTAGGTTATAAAAAGATATTTTATTTAAGACTATTTGCTTGCTTAGTTATCATGGAAATATCAGCGGCAACATCATGTAGATTCCTTAGACAGAGAGTGATATATCGCGAAAACCAAGATTTTTATTCTAAAGTTTATAGAAATTCTGGAGGATCACTTTTGAATCAAATCGTGCCTTTTGGACGTTTTTCGTTTTTTGTTTGTTTTTTCATGAAGTTGTCAGTTAATCTTCGACGTATGAGATCGAATATTCCTTTGGTATCTTTGGTCTCTCTTTTATACAAATCACCAAATCAAAATAAACCAATCAGAATACAATATGATACTGTAAAGCATGCATGCAGTTACTGAACCAGCTGTACTACCGAAATATTTATCTTATTTTGACCTTTTCACTGCCATCTTCTTGATACATATTCCCAACCATTGATCAGTCCTCCTGTATCGCTCACAAGTAAAGCACCGATCCAAGTTCCTAGCGCCGCTTATGTAGTTAATTTCATTTCTTTTGACACAGCTGACAACACACACATACATGTAGAACAAGCTAAAGTCTAATGATGAGATAACAATCAGTGCGTTCCAAAATGATGTATTCTCCAGTGGTTTGTAGTGTCAAGTTTTAAAGGAACCGTTTAGATATCATTTCAATATGGATATACAAGTAATGAAAAGTAACTTTAGTATCGAGGTATTAATATTCATTAATTCCGTTTTGATAATATGTTCTAATCACCATGGTTAACATGTTGCAACATTACTAGTGGAGTACCCGTCTACTAATTAACATTTTGTAACAGAACACGTCAACACGCGTCTACTAATTCGTCAAGAAAACAACACATTTGGAATTAAATCAGTAACAGGTATTTTATTTCAATAAATTGGGAATGATTTGAAATATGATAAAACTATACGTTTCTGTTCAATATAAATCATTTAATGATAACTACAAAATATTAATCACCTTTTTTTATTTGCCACTTACAGCTTTTTGCCGTGTGTTGTCACAGTAACCGAACACTAATATATTAATTAGTTCTCTCAAATTTTCACACTTCCACATTTGTAATTTATAGATAGTAATAGAACAAGTAATATATGTTTGACCTTTGTGTCTTAAATTTATTACAAAAAATTAAAATAATTTACTTTTTTATAACATTCTAGTATCAGATTTAAAGTTGTCAAAAATAGATAAATAAATAAGAGTAACAGTATCGCTAGTTGTAAAGCTGTCGTGCCAATCACATTCTTGTTAAGTATCGCCATTCCCTGAGAGACTTTGAAATCCAATTAATAATTCACAGACCATCTAAGATAATTAACGGGCGCCTGTTTGCTGCTTTATCCAGTCAACGTATGACGTCACACGAGTGAAGACACTCGGATACCCTTGTTTATCACACCCTTCTGTTCCCCAAGATACAATTCCCGTCAAATAGTATCTACCATTGCGTTTACAGGACATCGGGCTTCCAGAGTCACCCTAAAAATATAAGAAAATACAATAGACAGATTGAATGAAAAGCGAACAAATATTTTGTCAAAATCAAATTCTATTTCAAATCAATAAGCACATGTGACTGGATCAAAATTCTTATATTTTCAATTTTATATTAACTTGTAATTTTTTTATCTTCCTGTTTCACTGCCCTTTGGTGAGGGGGGCTGGGAGGGGGAGGGGGAGAGGAGGGGTACTGTTGTGATCTGTTAACTATGATTATAATCTATAATTCACGTTGAACGATTATAAGGTTGTGTGGGGTACATGCCAATAAGACGGCAACCTAACGACAAGTAACCAAAGTCATCTACAGGGTAACATACAGTTTTCAACAACAGACAACAAATGAATCTCCTAGTTAGTGTACATGCAAGACTCATTCATTGTGTGTAACATATAATGTGGAAAAAGTGCTTTTCATGATACTTAAAAATATAAATTTAGTGAAATTGTGATCACACAGGTTTCTCTCAAATTGCCCCTGATGAAAGGAAACCCCCAGAAAACCAGATGTATAAACACAACTGTTAAATAATTCTTGATTGTACTTTCCTTGAGTTTTATAAAAAGTATGTTGCTGCAAGATGTAATTTGTGTTTATATATATTGGTCTAAAACTATTTTTAGCTATTTTATTTAGACCCTTCAAAATATAGATGCTTTTTGCATCCGATGTGACCTTGAGAGGTCATACCGGTGTTATGTTGCCGCAGACATTTCCTTGCGTTTTTGACTGATAACCGTTCGTATTTCGTATAATTACGCGGATATTATCGAGTGCAAAATAACATTCCTTATCGCTTGTTATATATTAATTTCATCAATAAATATTCATGAAAATATTTTTTAAGAACATAGATAAATGATATGATAATGTTTTGTCGTGAGAAATATATATATCAATAACAAATCATGAATACCGAAAATTTGTGTTAACGCACGCGGAAGAATATCTCGAGATCTTTTTGCAACAAAAGCGGGAAAATATGAATGCCTACTCAATTCCAATCTATTAGGAAAACGAATTATTACAGAAGAGTGTCCAATTTACACTTGCACTGCACTATCATTAGAATAGTAGAATAGAATGATATATAAATGGATGAAAATTTGCCTGTAGAGTTACATGTATTAAGATGATCTGCTATATATAACTGATATACAAATATTAATATAATATATAACAACAAACCAGAGTATACTGATAACAAATGATTATATCACTTCAATATAATAATTATCACGGTGAGGTTGAATTCCCTGTCATTTATTCATCATCCACACAGGAACTTGTCTCAGAAAAAAATATATCTATGTACCTTAACCTAACTTTCAGGTATTGAGATATGATTTTTTTTCGGAGACAAGTGCTTGTGACCATCCACCAGAACTTGCGATCATCCGATGTTCAGTACTTCAGTACTTTGATTAATCAATTGTATAGGCTTTTCAATTCTGGAGCCTGAAGCATACCTGGTGAAAGTTAAAAGAGAAAGTATTGGAATTGTTGTCATCACTTTTTAGCGATTTACTGGAAGGCTACAGTTTTTGTCAAATATCTGAATTCCCTTTCCTTCGCGTCTGGTATACTTACTGAGCAAGGTCCATACGTGCCATCACCAAAGCAGATCATGTCAGAATCCATGTTAGTTTTCCAGTACTCACTACATCTTGTGTTGCTAATCACGTGACCATGAACTTGCCGCAAGGATGCATCAGTATCGTCTTCTGTAAAGAGAATAAATATAATGTCAAGGTCACTGATGAAATAAACGTTAGTAGCGTTTCGGGTCACTTTCAGAATAGCATTGGTGTACGTTTTACGGTATTACAATTCAAGGGTCAGCAGTTCTTGTTTCACGAACTGGTAATAAAGCATTCTACGGCAGAGGATTAATAAATGTCTCTTATTTAACCAAAATTTATACCATTGGTACATGTAAATTGTCTACTCTCTCCTATCATGACTGAATGTGAAGGTTTTACACGAAAACATTTTTCCAGGACAAGGAATAGACAAGACCATTTTATGTATAGATAAACAGCACAAAAATAGAACACTAAAATAACACAAAGAAAACAAAAATAAATAAAATGTGCACAGGTCATTTCAGCAAAGTAAAACAAATCTTTTTTTTAAAATCCAGTGGCGAACTCGAGTGCTTTGGAAGGACAGTTCCTGTTCCACTATTGGCATCTGTCTTGTTGTTAATGACAAGGAAGAAATACTGATAAGTAGATAAGTAGCAATCATAAACGAGGAAAGGAGGAAGATATAGTGTACATAAAAAGTCGATGATACACTTACCATTTGTATCTCCCCACCCTGTCACCCAACACTGGTCAGAATTTTCAACATCAAACAATTCCACACTGTTACTTTGTTCTCTCTTAATCCTAATTTGCCTCATTAAATCAGGGACATCCCTTCTAAATCGGATATGGTTGACCATGTCTAAGTTTGGAGAAATGTCAGGTATATTGAGATGGTTAATGTATTCATCTATTGATGGTTCCTGGTTCAGATTAGCATCGTTGTCGTTTCTCTTTAAGTTGTTGTTAGGAAACTGTGGATCCCCCTTCAAGGGGAGACAAATCGTCTTGATATAATCAGTAGATAGATCTACAGGGCGTGCTAGCTCTATTAATGCAATATCGTGGGCGTACTGTTTGTGAATTGGTACAGTCTCATTCTCCTCGACAGTTTCTCTCTGGTCAACTCTGTAGTTGGGATGCTAATAAAATCAAAGTTGAAAAATATACTAATTAATAATTTACGTGAATAATTGAAATTAAAGCAATGCGTTGTTGACCTCTATCTTGTAAATCGTAGGTTGTTTAAATCTTTCCTCCTAACAGTCTATTTGCTATATGTTCTCAGTTCTTCATTTTCTATAAATTCAATTAGCCATTTGCATTTTATGAATGTTTGCTAATGAAATGCCAAATTAATAATTACATACATGACACTGTTTTCACAAAAAAAGTTATAATTCATCAAAATTATGAAAGCCATAAAGAAAGATCAGAGCTGCAAGCATTTAAAAAGTTGATCTTTTGGCTTGAAATATTGCTCTTAGATTTTAAAGAACAAATGTATGAGCAAAATGTGTCATTAAACTTAATAAAAATATTTAAGTAAAAACAACAGTTTAAACAACAGTTTACGACTTTGGAGATATCATATGGTTGGATAAGAATCGCTATAGCATGATACATAATCACTTGATATTACTTATCAAAGTATTTTATACTATTAACACGATGAGTGTCACATGTGGAGCAGGATCTGCTAACCCTTCCGGACATCTGAGATCCCCACCTGTTTTGGTGGTGTTCGTGTTGGTCAGTCTTTAGTTTCATTTTTTGTGTTTTGAATGTCCCCTTGGTCCCTCCCACCCCCCATTGTATGCACTTGAAATAATTTTGAAACACATATTTGGTATAAAAATAAACGTAGTTTGAGTAAAAAGTAAAATGAAAAAATACCGAACTCCAAGGAAAATTCGAAACGGAAAGTCCCTTAAAATATAGGATGCCGGACAAAATTTGTTAATGTATTGCTTTTGAAAAAGCAAGAAGAGTTTAAATATATCAAGTAAAGTTAGGAAGCGAACTGCTCTAATTTTAAAAGTTAAAAACTGCTTTGAGTATCTCACTCAATACAACATGGAAGTAGTAAAAACAATATCAGCATTATCATTGCAGAAAAGTACTGTTTCATAACTTTTCTGACTTTGAACTTATATGAATATACCCGTATAATTCTGTTGATAGGAATATCAGTTCCGGATTCTCCGTCATACAGATAATGCAGACCTACAGAAACACGCCATCTTGAAGGCTGGTTGTACCATCTATAAAGACAAAGATACCTCAGTTTTATTATAAACGTTAGAAAAAACTAGGTACCAAATGATCAAATATACTTTATGTCTTGTTAGCAAAAAAGATTGTATACTAGTTATCAAATCAATTGTTTAAATTCCCTATAATTTTAGAATCCGTAATTTTGATTGGCTGACAAAAATTGCGAGGCACTCCAATATCATATTTCCGTATTAAATACAACAGCTATGACTGCACGTGCTATCCGTCACAATGTTAATATAATGCATTGAAAATCAAACGAAAAGCTTGATATAACTCTTAATTTCATGGTTGTAACATAAAAATGTAATTATAAGAATTAAATGCTTTTTTTTATAATTTTATAGGGTTGAAAAAGCATTGATCGTGTGCAAATTTTTATTATGAAGAGCGGTATTAAATATGCTTCGGTTAACGCTTTTACGCCCCCAATAAAATTATAAAAAGAACCATTCCGTTCTTAATTAAAGTAAGAACGAGTATACTGTAATTCGGAAATGTACGTGGAGCTAACAAAATATGTACATGTGGACTTCAGAACATTGAATAAAATATTGAGACTCGAACAACAAGTATAATGTAACCGTTATCAAGGATATTTTTCCTCATATGGGATGTTGCTGGAGGTTTTCAGTAGTAGTAAATTACAAATCGTCAGATCCTTAAAACAATATTTGTGATATCGTTTGGTTTATAAAAAAAATGTCTACGAATGAACATAGAAAAAATATATGTGATATCGTTTGGTTTATAAAAAAAATGTCTACGAATGAACATAGAAAAAATATATGTGATATCGTTTGGTTTATAAAAATGTCTACGAATGAACATAGAAAAAATATAAACCAATTCCGCAAGAATCAACGTCCAAAAAACCGAATGTATTTAAATAAAATTCCCTTATACTGTGAATGATATATTAAAGTTTCAATAATATATATAGGTAGAATACCGATTTTAGTTTAGCATGTTTAGTGTAAAAGAATTATAATTCCACGAAGGAAACCAGCTGCGTGCGCCTTACCCCTTTAAACAATGAGCTGCAGTAACTACCCATCTGTCACTGATTAAAGCTCCACCACACATATAAACTCCTGTCATGAACCGCAGCGCCACCTGCCATGGCCAGGCGCCACGTGGTGCATTTGTTCCTCCGATGATACGTTTCGATCGATGTGGAATTGCAGGCACGCCACATTCAGGATCTAGAAATGTAGAAATGTAAATATTCAAAACTTTCAAAATTGAAGACAAAAGTAGAGAACCCTGAACATAAATATTTTACTCAAAAATGTTAAGCTTTTGATTGTATGCAAGAACAAGTATATAAATAACTGTATCATCTATTCATTTTGAACAGAACTATAAAAGAGGAATGTTAAACATAATTTCAGTACCTCTGCTGATTAGAGCGTTCGGAAGCTCTATTTGAGGAGTTGTAGTTGGCGCTAGTGTCGTTGTCGTCTGCATCGCTCTCATTTTTTCAACTGTAAAAAAAATCAAAGTAAAAATAAAATATACAGCGGATGAAGTCGATGTGTAAATTGTAGGTGATATCTGTATAATCGTGTGGCTATGCAAAAAAAAAGTTTCTTGAAACGTTAAAGCAAGCTTTTTATATAAAAACCAGAGTATAAGTTGGTATCCTATCGTCAGGCAAATTCTCATTCAAATACTCCCTTGTTTTAATAGCAGTACATTCCCGGATCTTATTCTACATATTGTCTTATTGTTAAACTTGCTATTGTTCGAAAGGTGTGCATGTGATTGATCTCAGAAGGATAAACCTCCAATTAACCTTTAACTAATGTAAAGGTCTTTATTTTTTCTTCTGCATTCACCAAGACTTTTCAAATACATAAAAGCAACCGTGAAGTAACATCTCTTTAAAATATGTTTTTTTCATATTTATATAAAATATTTGTTATTTGTAGTGAACTTACCATATGCTGGTGGCGCACAGCAGCTGTCAATAGGTGAAGAACACAGTGATATACCCCATGAATGTACAAACTTATATTCACACTGTGGATTACATGTACCATCTAAATAACTACATAGTTCAAATTGATATCCAATGGCATAACCTGTAAAATACCAATATGTTTATATAATTAAAAACATATTTTACCGAGATCGTCGATCAATTGCACTATATTTAATGCATTATGTTTTAAGGTGTTTATATGCGAATAATCAGCCTCCTATTTGTTTTGTCATCGTGGCTAGTGACTTTTGGAACTTCTCCTTTGTTTTTATTTAAATCGTAAATAGTTATTGTAACTGTTTTTGATATCTCTGTATCGATGTTATGCATTGGTTTTATGATAATAAAGGTATACATATAAGAAAGCATTAATGAAGACGAACGACCGTCTTAGTTAGATTTTGGATAAATATCATGTGTCGAAATTCTAAACATTTCCACTAGAGTATAAATAAACACCTTATAAACACTAAGTCTTATATATTCAAAGTGTTCATAAGTCATTTGTAGGTACACGTTCAGTAATACAACATGATGTTCAAGTAATCTCAAAGTACATATACGATGATGTGATATTGTGGATTTAAATGAAATTAAGAAAACTTTTAGAAAATGTCCTTCATATGATTTTTTTTAGTCAAAACTGGTTCTTCCTCTTTTTTTTTTCGCGCCAAAATGCCAAAGAAACTTAAAGATGTCAAAATAGTTCGACATAATGTCAATGAAAACTTTATCAATAATTGCCTGTTTGAAAATTCATTAGTTTGTTATTTTTGTCTTAAATGCATTTCAGATATTTCTTTATCATATTTAACACAACTTGGTATAGATATTAGATATGTATTTTTGTAATAACTATGACCCTTTATCTCTGCTTTCTCTATAGGCTTGCTGCGTTCCGATTCGAATATATATTAATATATTGACAACTTCAGATAAAAGATTACAGAAACTTATTTTAGATAGTTAAAGTTCTAAAAATAGAATAAAAACATATTTCTTCAGGAATGTGTCAAAATTTGCGCTGGTTCAGTTAAAAGGAATAAGCTCACACAATCTTTAAGATTTCAGCAAATGATCTATTAAATCGTCATTATCTAATGATTATGTTAGCATATGTATTTCACGGTCGTTGATTAGAGGTCGTTGATTGACCTTGTGATAATATTCGACTTTGGTCTTTCAAAAGTGCCTGATACCCTCAACACGTAGCAAGTAACGTATGTTTAAGTATAAATATTCTTTTGCGAGATAAAGAAGAAAACGCACGAACAAATATGAAAATAATTGTAACATTTCTTATTTTAATTTTTATGCATGAATTTTGAAAAGTACATTTTTTTTAATTGTTAATGCATATAGTAATCTTTGGGAGAATTAACTGCATATAAGTATAAACAGAATATCCAAATGTATGGTAACATAACGACAGAATCTGTCCCAACAGCTTCACGAATGCGGTCCGATAGAGATCAGACAGTGAATCGACGCAGGACATTGTTACGATGTTTGACCCGATACAGCACAATCTGTCACGACATATACATGATTGTAATCCGACTAGACGAAATCAACCGAGTTTCCAGAATATTACGGGACGCATCTAACTGTTAGGAGTGCTTGGAAATCTGAAAGCAATATTCCCGAAATAACACCATGAAAGCAATATCCCCGAAATAACAACATAAAAAGTCAAAATCAGCTAAGGAACTCTGGTGCATCAGGAGGATAACCATATATTTTTGACAATTCTACGTTGATTTGTAAACTGAAAATTTTTTCAGTGAAAAAGTTTTGACTTTTAGACTAATGACACCAACACAAGGACTTGCAGTAGCACCAATCCAATGATAGAATGATATACAATAATATCACAACTTTCATTATTGACTTGATACACAATATGCCCTATATGAAAGTAATTTCTCTCAATAATCGTGCTTGGAAGTAAATAGTATCTTCAACATTGATGATTTGACTGGATTTCTTAGAGCATTTCTTTTTTTAAAGTTCTGACCGTTTGAACAGTTTGAATTGAAACTGAATTTCTAGAGAAAGAATGGAATACTAATTGAGTCACCGACAGTAAATCTAATACATTAAAATTACCAATATCCTTTAAAAAAAGAAAATGCGAACAATATATTAAAACCTCAAAGCATAAGCGCTTTATTACATTGACATGCGTGAATGAACATAAACTTTCATTGTTGTTCTATTACTGTAATAGAAACCAAAGAATATGAGATATCCATCCATCCATGCATGTGTTTGCTTGCAAGCTTATAAAAAACCCACTTAAGTAATATGAAGTGTTGATGATTTAAAGCCACGAAATTTAAAAAATGTGTCTTTTTTTCTTTCAATGTCTGGCACTTGGTCAATACCGCTTCTGGTGAACTACTATTTACCGAAAAAAAACATCAGCTAAGTAGTCCCTGTTTGGATTTTCCCATATGTGGCCACTATCTTACATTGCATTTTAATATATTATACATTAAGGTTCTTCGATGTTAGTTTTTCATGTTTCAGATTTCAAAATATTTTGACAATGAAAATTATGCATAGAGAAAAATACCGCTCCTCTCTGTCAAGATCATCTGCTTTAAAAACCTTACTATACCTTTCAATTAAATTCTTAAAAAAAGAAAACTCTTCCCAATAAACCCAGAATAAACATAACAGACTAAGCAATTTCACAAAGACGTAATAACTGAACCATATTAGGTGTTATATATAATGTTAGTTAGATCATTTTATTCACAGTGAAGATTATAAAATTCATGCACGTGCGGATATAACAATAAAAGGCAAAAGTCAATTGCTTACGAGCTCATATCGGTTTTTCTTTCGACGTGTGTGTTATATATGTATACTTTTGTTTGTTTTTTTATTTTCAGTTTTCCATTGGTCATGATGGTGACAGCCTTTCTTGTGATTTTTCATGGCCCGTCTTTTTTTACATTAATATACAACACATTGATTCATCTCATTGATCAATGAATATCAGCAATTTGGCAAGTCTTTATTTTCTCAGCTGGTATGACAAATTATAAGTAGTATATCCGTACATTCATATTGTGAATGATATTATGAATGAAATTCTTCAAGTAGCACTATTAGCAAGGAATGCTCGTTATCATAACTCCCACGAGCAGAGAACAGCAGGTTTTTGGTATTATAAATGATATAAAATCATATCGCAATTTCAAGCAAGGTTTTTTTCTTTATTTTTAGAGCAATCCTATGATTGATAGAGAATCCAGAAAACTGTCATGAAAATGTCAATTTACTGATCTTTCATTTACTTTGGAAGGAAAAAAAAACAGAAAACTTCGCTTACCTAATAAAATTGTATAAATATTCTATATATAAATTTAAAAATGAAAAAAATATATTTTGATTTCCAATGAGAAAATTATCCATAAAGTCCACAAATAAAAACGACAATGTTCAAAGAGCTCACTACAAATAAAGTCTACTGTTACTCCACTTCCATATAAAGCAAACGGTAATGTGAATATTTCCTTGTACTCGCTACGAAACAGGATAAAAGCTCGGCGAACCTTCGGACAATATATTGTATATGAACATGGGCTTATCTCATGGGAGCAGGACGTTTAAGTGAAAATTTTAAACTGTTAGTTGATATTCTAGCGCCAACATTATAGTCAATCTTAGCGCCGGATTAATCCGTTAACTTGTATTTTCCACACTTACGGAGTTGAAAAATTCTAATGTTAGTTTGGTAAAAGACAGAGCAATATAATGTTAACACAAATCAAAGACAGAAATGTGCAATATGGGACGGATTCCGTTATTTGAACAACAAGTTATTAAAACGAGCCAAGATATTCAGACAAAGTAAAATGAAGGAACAGTTCTAACTGCAATTCTATGATAAACATTGCTGATGTGGTATATCAAGAGCCCATTATATAAGTACGGTTACTGAAATATAGATTCCCAGCTTAAACTGATTTGCAATATTTTGCCGCTAAAATGGGTTAGAGGAGAGCCGCTAAAACAGATTATTGATATCCATTGGCGCCGAAACAACCGATCTTTTTTTCGCTTTAATGTCCTCCGTTGATCCTCATTGCGTGATTATTTTCTATGAAAATACGTTATAATTAAGTTTTCATAATTGCAGATGTAGCTGTTGCTTATTGTATTCGATACAATTACGGGTATATTTCCGTGGTGTAACCACATAGTTATCAGAAGCATGAAACCGAATTGTAATCCACATGGTACAATTGCATGAGCAATTTCAATTAATGTTTTATCATTTATTGCTATAAGATACGCCTGCGTGCTGACATCAAATATCAAATGGAATATAATCTTATATCATATGAACAAAAATATTGAATTATAGGAAACAAATCTGTATTTATATGATTTAAAACATGTAAATTTAATTATGTTTCTATTTTTACTACTGTAGTGGGCGGCGTGATTAATTATTATAAGTGTACTTGAAATAATGATTTACACAAGGGACGGTCGCTATATCCCATTCACGTTTACAAAAGATAAAATAGGAGTGTTTTCACAAAAAAAAACATCATGCAAAGCAGAAACACCACAAGCTTTGAATATTTAACTACTACTCAGCCAATTTGGTTCTAGTGTAATCTTATATTTTTTTTAAATTTAAATCAGCTTTTAATGGCCATATAGCGCTACAACTGTTTCGGTTGTTGTACATTCTTGGTTTTCAAATATTCGGCCTTGAGCATTCCTCATGAAGGTCAAATCTAGAAAAGCGTTTCGGACCCCTGAAATTTATTAAGTGTTTTTTTTCCTTCATTTTTATTCTAAAGGAATGTGTTTATTTAGGTCTGTATATTATTCCAGGATACTGTGTTGTCCAGGAATTATTGATCTATTACAACTACCCTTTTTAATTTCTAAATTTAACTTTGATGATTTTAATAAATTTCAACCATGCATTTTCTTGACCACACGATTAAATTACCGTGGTTACCGTCGTTAGGAGATCTTAATGCGGAACTGACAATTTATGTAAGAAAACGCAGCCAGATCAATCAGAATATGAGCGGGAGGTTAATTCCGATTATCGGGGTATCGGAA